AAAAAGCTCTTTAGTCTTGAAGGATGGATACTGGAGACGGAATCTGGTTTGTGTTCTTGGATGGGCACATAATTTACCAAGAGCATTCACCCTGCCATCTGTCTGTCGTCTCACTGTCCAATGAGCAAGCGGCCCTCCGACACGTTCTACGCATCCCTCCTTCCCGGTGGTGTGATTGCTGCTTCCTGGAGCACCAGGGCTAAATGGAGGTATCTGGAAACGGGATTCCCTGTCACGCTCATGTCTGTTACAGTACCTGCATTGTCTTGGAGTGTAAGCACTGTCTAGAGGGAAGGAAGAGGCCTGTTCTTTATGCCTTAAGTCGGTTGAGGTTTGTAGGGGACCGGTTCTTCTACATACAAGTATCTGTCCTAAGTTTGCACAATGGCTAGTGTCAGCAAATGGCAGGGGAGGGGTTTTTAAAGTTCTGCGAGAATGTGGACTTATGGCATTGAGCATCACACTCTGCTGTATTAACTTTGGGAAACTGGATGGACCAAACATTAACCTGTCAGGCACCAAGTGTGAAAATGACTTTCATGGTTCCTTCATAAGACTATAATAATTTCCGACACTTTGATAGGGAAAAAAATTCAAAGCTGTGCCTTTGAGCCTATACTATACTGTGTATGTGTGGAAATAAAAATGTATTGTACTTTTGGAAAATTTTTTCGTAGGCATTTTTCTGTCAGATTTGTAGCAATTTGTGAGGTTTGTTAGAGATTAACATAGGTTTTCTTTCTGTATTATAAAAAGCACCAAGCAATTATGGTGGACCTATTACCCTATGGGTAAGAAATAAATGGAAATATGACATCGGATGTTTTAGCAATTGTTCTGTAAATAAAATCTTTGCTCACACCCACTCAGTGTGATAATCATGTCTACAGCTCAAATGGAAATAGTTTTATCTGTACAGTTGTGCAAGATATGAATGGCTTCACACTCAAATAAAAAGTATTGAAATGACCTGCTTTCTTCATTTTGCATTTGCTATGATGTATGCGTGTGTGTGTGTGTGTAGTATAACTACCATTCTGAATACTTAGGTTGTAAATAAGCAAAACAAAACTAAGTGGTCCTGTACGGTTGTGCTTATCCAGTTCCCCATCATCCTGTTCTAAAATAATCATTAAAATTCAGATAGGCCCCACGTGAAGTGGATAAAGAACAGTTCAGTACCTACTACCTGACTGAGGTTTGCAGGAGACCAGTTCCACATCCAAGACTGAAGTCTGCATGATGGCTAATGCCAGCAAAGGGCAGGGCCTTTCAGCTCTTCCAGGGATGTGGTTCTTCAATACAAGCACCATTACGAGGTCGCTTGGTATTCAGTTCTCTATGTTTTAATGATCACCGGGTGTAAAGATATGTCAAGTGCATGGTGTAAATGCTAATAAACTTCTGGAACAGAACAGCGACATTACTGAATAATAGTCCATGAGCATCAATGAATTCTCCTCCAGCACTGCATTTTGATTCTAGGGCTGAGGAGTGAGGCCATAAAGGCAAAATGATTGAATGTTCCACCCAAACTTTAAGGGTCTAGGATCTATGAGCGATTCAGAGCCAGAGATTTCCAGAAATGGCAGTAGTGATATGTTAACTAAAAGGCATGAGAATCTGACAGCTCAATTTGCATTCTGAAAGCTGTATTTTTAAAGCCAAGCTCTTATTTGCTATCACATATTTATACATGAAAATGATTTTAGTATTAAAATTATACATTTTGCATAGCATCCCCTTAGAAAATTTAGCTGTGTTTTTCTGCCAAAAGAAAGTAGATGTTGGATTTCACTTTCTGACGGTAAATGAATTTGGTCTTTTGGCCACAATCCATTAGTTGGCTTTATATGAGGAAAGTAAGGGAGAGGAAGAATGAAATTTCAGATTTAGTCACTGTATAGAACAAACGTGAGGATAAGCAGACTTAATGCTCCCTTACAATCCAAAGCTCTAGTGCTCCATAAATGAAAGGGTGTAGTAAGTCTTTTGACTTACTAATCACACACACACACACACACACACACACACACACACACACACACACAAATATAAAGCAATTGCCAAATTCTCTAGCCAGGTAGCAGTAGCACACAATAAACAACAGCCATGTACAAGTAACAGCCACAGCTCATTAAATGCCCAGATCTTTAGACAAAAATAGTCACGACAAGGGCCTGAATCCCAGAGAACAAAGTAGTCACTCCAAGAACTTTGCAAGGGAGACAAAGTGTGCCTCCTCCTCACAGCATGGCCAAGAACTGGGAGCTGTCAGTGCTGGAGGAAGAAGGCGGCTTCAGATGAGGGCAAGTGGTGACTGGGCGTTCGTTCTCTCCAGAGCACCAGGTACCCTGTCTCTTGGGAGGTGAGTGTACTGCCTATGTCCCCAATTGTTCTCGACCTTCAACTTCAGAACTGAGAATGATCTGATTAGGAAAGACGACAGCTGCTGTGAGCTCATGACTCCAATGCACCTTCTCTCCCTCCGATGGTTCCTACCCGGCCACCAGAATGAGAATGGGCAAGGTTGGCAGCTGGGAGTGGGGCCAGTCACTTGTCAGAGGAAGAACAGGAGGAGTCTTGGCAATAAAGGGACACTCCTCTCTTTAGGACTCTTTCTGAAAAGGACTCTGCCAGCTTGAAACTGGATGAAGTCATGAAGAGCAGCCAGGATGGCTCACCCACGTCGCAGGCCTGTGGCGTCCCAGACATCCATCCCGCTGTGTCCTTTGTCAGGCCTCTAATATACCCCAGGTCTGGGAAGAAAGGGAATCTGCGGCCCCTCTGAGACTGCAACCCAGTCGCAGACCAATAAAAAATATGCCACTGAGTAAGCCCAACCTAAATGGGGAGAGGGACCGAAATCAGAGAAAGAGAACTGAAAGGAAGCCTTGGCTTCACCACTATGTGACCTTGGAGGGGTCACCTCCCCACTCTGGACCTCAAGCGGGCATGTTATATGACTGTGACATCCCAATTATAGTCTGTGTGCTGATGGACCAGGGCCGGCGGATCTGGGTGAGGAGGGTGGACAGCTTAAGGAAAACAAAGAACAGACTGGCAGCTGGGCAGTGACTCGGGAAGGCAGCCACAAGAGACAGGGCGACGGCACCACCAGCTGGTGCTCAAAACAGCCCGAGGTTCATGCCCACGAGCTCAGCTCGTGTACCTGCACCACCATTACCGAGCATCCTTCCGCCCTCTTCCTCGCGTCTGACCCCACCCTCTCTCCCACAAGTCTGGGTAGTAGTCTTCTGCCATTTTCCCCTCCTTCCAGATTGGTCCTTAATATTCGCTTTAAAGTGACATCAGTTGAAATATCTCAAGTGAATCTGGAGAAGGAAAGAGCAAAAACATACAGGCTAATATGTCTCAACACTTTGCATCTCTTAAAGGCAGAATCGCGAAATTAAAAATTAAATCCTGAAGGGGCTAGTATAAATACTCCTTTTACTACAGGGTGTGGGGAGGGGTTACTGTAGGTCTCCTGAGGCACAGAGTTCAGACATATTCAAGAGCCTGAAGTATGCAAATCATCATGATTGGAAGCTTAAAAGAAAAAATAAAAAATGGAAATACTTATTGCTTTAAAGCGACAACTGAGATCAATTCCTGGTTCCACCAAAGATGTAGAAGGGGCACTCCTGCTCCAAGTGGTTCTCAGCCCTGGCTGCCCCTCAGTTACTCCATCAACTCTTTCAAAATCCTGATCTGTAAGTCCCGCCCACAGTAAATGATTGACCTGGAATGTGACCTGGAGCATCAGCTTTTTTAAGCTCCCGGGGTGCAGTCAAGATTGAGAAAAACAACCCCTTCCACCCGAGATCCAGGGACTGCTATTTCTTGAATGTGCACCCCAAATTTCTTTTCCACAGAGTTCCCGTCTGTCCGGAGTGGCAAAAAGCGGCACTCTCCGATAGCCTACACTGTTCATAGTTTGGCCGCAGCTGACAAACCTGTCCCTGGCTACCCTGTTTGGCGGGCCCTCCAGCCCAGCCCACCTCCCTACCTACCACTTTGCCGCCTGCCCTTCTAACCTGACGCTTCTCTGCTTCAGTTCCTTGGCAGCCTCCCAAGCTAAGCCAGCTTGGACACGGCCCTTGTGGTTTCCTCTTTTTCCAAGGAGGTCAGAACCTTTTGTGCTTCATCAGCCTCCTCCCCAGAGCGCTTCCCCCATTCCTCCTTCTCACCCCCATATTTTGCTGCTACTGGTGTAGGTGGGACGGAAGACGTGGGCCCCAAGAGTCGAGAAAAGAGCTGTTGCTAGGAAAGGAGCGTGGGTGTAGAGAGATGGTGGGTGGGAGAAATAGGGCTCCCCGGTTTTAT